AGGCAAAGGCTCAGACCTCTGTCCCTCTCTCCCTCCTCCTGTGCCAACACAGCAGAGCCTCTTTCTCCTTCCCTGCCCCTCAGGGCCAGAGCAGATGCACACAGAAGGGGGAAGCCCAGTTCTGCCCCAGGGGTCTCTCTGCTCCACCGTACTGTCAGTGTCCTTCCTGGCCGGGCTCTTCTGGCTCTACCGGCAGCTCCCTTCTGACATACCTGTGCTGCCCACCGCATCTCCACCAGCCCAGACCCCAGAAAGCCCTCCAGCATCACCGCACTTCTGTCTAGAGATGGGATCTGCAGGAAGAAGGCTTTGTCTGGCTAACTTCTGCCACCCTTGGACAGAAGCCCATACAAGACAAAACGTGATGGGGTGTCTCATGCAATCTTATGGGGGGGGGAGAGGAAGGGGAGGCAGGGACCAGCAGAGGGTTGTAACTCAGGGATTCTAGGTCACAGCTCTCCGAACCAGCAGGCGGAGGCCGCTCAAGAGCAGTTGCCTTAATGACAAAGGACACTCCAGGACCGGAGCCAGCGGCCAAGGGCTGCCCTTCCTCCATTTCTGGAGGGGCAGCCCTGCTAGTCTCCAGCCAGCAGAGGGAACACAGCAAGGAGTTCCGGGTCACCTTGAAGACAAGGAGGTTTGATCTGGAGACCACTGAGTTTCAGATAAAACTGGTTACCCTTTGAGGTGCCATTGCATGTGGCTATTGGGTTATATTTTATTGTCTGTGCCTTTTCGTAAAATTAGGGTTCTAGCAGTGCTGTGCGTTGGACTCTTGTTTTATGTTCATTGTTGGTGGCCCTGGGCTCTTTGCAAGGAAGCAGGGCGGGGGCTGTCAAGAGAATAAACAAAGAAATAAACAAAGGACAGCAGGAGTAACCTGATGAAGCCTGAGAATTCAACAAACACAGGCAAGTGCAAGATGGCATCACCACATGCAGGATGGAAAACACCCGTGGGGTTCTGGTGAGGATCAACACAAACCCTGAAAAATAATAACTGAGATCGTGAAAAAGTATTAAGCATGTATTCTCCCTTTCTCTCTCTCTCTCTCTTTTGCCAGGACCCAAGTCCCAGGCAATATGGCCCCACTCTGCAAGAACGGCCTGGAGGACAAAAACGACCAGGGGCCTTTAGGGATCAACCCTCAGGAAAGACAAAGATACCTGGTGCCCTTGCAGGGAAGCGGGAACTCCCTGACTGGGTGGGTGGGGTGTGTGTTCAAAGGGCAAAAGGGCACAGGAAGAATCCAGCTGACTAGGTCAAAAGATGTTGCCTGCAAGGAGCAAAGGGAAAATCCAGGAGGAGGGAGTGAGGAGGACATCCCCCCTACTCTCTTTCTGTCTCTCTCTCACTCACTCTCTCTCTCTCTCTCTCTCT